CAAATGAACAAGATACTGCAGCAAACCTTGCACATGTACATTCGTCCCGATCAGATTGACTGGGATGAACATCTGCCTAAAGTTGCTAGTGCCTATAATAACTCTGTACACCTATCTACATGTAAGACTCCTATGGAGTTACATCTGGGATGGTGTCCACGTAGACCCATTGATCGGTTGAACCAGATCAAACATATAGGAACTAGTGAATTTGCAGTCCAATATCAAAAAGACATTGAGAAGGTAAAAGAAAACATACTCAAAGCCCAACATCAAATGATTGAACAGGCAAATAAGCATAGACACCCGTCTCAATTTGTTGTAGGAGATTTGGTTTGGGTGAAATCTAAAGAATTTGTTCCTGAAGAAAACATCTCTCAAAAACTTTTACCCGCCTACAGAGGACCTTGGCAGGTTCTAAACGTAATTGGAGATGTAGATGGTCCTTCATATGTCATTGAGGTTCCTTTACATTTGTGTACTTATCCAGTGTTCCACGCCTCAAAGCTCTTGCCTTGCGTGATGAATGAGTTGTTTCCAAGCCGCAGGTCGGCGATACCTCCAAGTATGGGTGGAAGGTATGATGTGGAAAAGATTATTGCAGAAAGTACTTTTCACACTGGACGTAAAGGCAAACCACGACGACAATATAAGGTGAGGTTTACCTACCAGGATCCTAGCGAGGATCGCTGGTTCACCAGGGAAGACTTGTTAGAGTTTGCACCTCATATTGTGTCTGCATATGAAAAGGAAAGAAAAAGAATCTATATCATTGATGAGTAAATGATTCTCAAAGGACTTCGAAACTAGGCCGGCGAGAGTAAAAGGGCCTTTACCCGATATAGGCCTTAGGCCTTGTAAAGTAAAGCAGCACGTTCCTTGTAAAAGTAAAGCATTATGAAAAGGTATCTCGCCAGGACTCAGAAACGTGAAAGCAGGTCAAAGGTCAAGTTCTCTATCAACAGGCACATCTAAATCTAAGGCAAAGGGCATTGTCAACAGACTTACCTGTTCACCAGGAGATGTGTATGTCATGTCTGTTCGATTAAGAGTGTGTTTGTACGTGCAGGCAGTGTACCTGTTCGTGTAAAGGAGAGTGTCTGTTCAGACAGTATGTGTGTCTGTTCGTCTAGAGTTGTGCCTGTCCGAAAGTAAAGTTAACAGGTAAAGTCCCAGTTCTGGTCGGAGTCAAGGGGTCAGTCCAGATCCAGACTTTCGAGTCCAAATCTAGGCCAAGAGGCCTCAGAAGCAGTTGAACCTCATTGGGACTATACTGCGACACATGCAATGCAGGGTCTGGGACAAAGGAAAGGCTGAATTGAGCCAATGCAGATCCAGCGAGGAGTATAAAGGAGGCTGCTAGCCTCATTCCTCGCCAGATCTCCACTGGCTGCAATGCGTGGAAGTGCTGGTGCACTTGTGCGCTGAGTCAGGAGGAGCAGCGCTGGAGGTAGAAGATGCGCTGAATGGAGGAAGAAGCGTGTACGCTGGAAGTGATGCAGCCATAGCTGCCCAGCGAGTTAGCATTAGTAGTAGAGGGTTAGTATTTAGCTATGAGTAGTATTCAGAGTAGATCCTCATTAGAGAAGAGTGTGTATGCATCATAGGAGGAAGGGACTGAGGAAGAGTGTTCATTCAAGGTTTGGCTATGGAGGATACTTTCCTGAGTTGAATATGAATTGCAGAGGTGACGCTGATGCATTCGAAGTCATATTGATGAGTTGACAAGAGATTTGTGCTGCGCTGATGAGCGCTGGACTCAAGGGGAACTTTGAAACACTTTGTAATCATACTTGTGATAGTATAAGCTTGGAAACTCGGTCCTCTTCTCATCTACCTTTGTCTATTGTGCGAGACTACTGATCCTTGTGTGCGAGTATGATGCATGACATGTACACACTTGCATGAGATGGTCCCCAGGACCCATGCACAAACCTATATTAGCCAGTATTCCGACCCCTGCTAAGTAGTAACAAACCTATATTAGCCAGTAATTAGGCCCAGTATGCGCAACAGAGGAAAGAAGTAGAGGGGCTGGCAGTGCTCTTATCACTCCTCTAAGCACACAGCCCACACAATGCCATGAAGTATGTTTCAAAAAGAGTAAACCTGCAAATGCTAACAAGTCCCAGACCAGCAAACAAGAGGGGCTCTGTGGAAAAACCACGACCGGGGAAGAAGGTTCCCACCTGTGCTGACCCGCCCAAGCCCAAGGGGTCAGGGCCCCACCTGGGCCCACCATTATATCAACTGCAGGAAGCAATGGCCCACATTCGCAAAGTTTAACCCCAACTGCGGGCAAGCACCGTGGGAACACGGAACCTGAAACAGACCCGCCGGGCGGGAAGGATTGCCAAGTAGATGGGCAGCGCTTCAGCGTGTAAAGTAGCAAGAATATTAAGCCTTCCGTTGTACTTTTTCAGAGTCACTCACTGCTGGACAGAACAGCCCGTTTGATGGAAAAATTGACCCCTGCCCATACCATCAGTGGTGTGAGGCGTTTGGCCCTGAAGACAGGAGACTCAGAGGCTATTTTAATTTAACGGAGGCCTCAATTTTCAGACCACTTGTCAGGACATTTATACTTCGGAATGGGCAAAAACATCACTCCGTAGGCAGGTTTGTCAAAGTCGGAGTGAGTAAAGGCAAGAAAAACAGCTGAAAGGCAACATCCTCGTCGTCCAAGTTCAAATAGGCAAAAAAAACC